ATACTGTTTATTTGCTTTGCAGTTTTGACATCTTGACTTTTATTGGTTCTTCTCTGGTCATGAGTATTTGTGATTATAATGCCTCTTGTTGGGTTCCCTGGAATCTCTACTGCTGTTGGTCTGGAGTTTCCATGAGCTTTATTTAGCTGTGCCTGTAGATTTCTACATAATGATCTGTGGTTAGAATGTAAAACAAAATTAAAAGAATACATAAATTATAAAAAAATAAATGCCTCTGTGTTTAAATAAGATTTGTTTTTGCTATAATTTTATTCACCTGAACTTCTTCATCTACCTTTGAATTTTTAGGCTTCATCTCTGGATGTATTCCAGAATTACAAAAGTTGTGTTGATTAATATAAAACATCAGTGTTTAAGTACTTCCAAAAAATTAAAAAGACATGAAGAAAGAAATAAAGGAAGAAATTCAGACACACAGAAAGAAAGAAAGAAAGAAAGAAAGAAAGAAAGAAAGAAAGAAAGAAAGGAAGGAAGGAAGGAAGAAGGAAAGAAAGAACTTCTTTGGCCTTTCCCTCATTTCTGGCATTCTGCCTTCTACTTGATGATGATTTCCACTGTGATGTTTTTATTTGAGTCAGTGAATTTTGCATTTCCAACATTTCTTTTTAATATATCATTTCAATTAAATCTGAGAATTTCATACATGTATGCCATGCATTTTGATCATATTTTTCTCTGCTCCTTCTAACTCCTCTGAAATGTATCCTTTATACCCTGGCCTTCTCCCAACTTTATGTACTATTTTTCATAACCCCCAAGTCTTTGTGCTGTCTGTATACTCCTACATGTGAGGGCATTGACTTGAGCATAGCAGGCTTACCAAGAGCCAAATACTAAAGAAAACAGACTTTCCCTACCCCAGACAACATCCATTGTCAATAGCTCCTCAGCGAGGGGTGGGGGCTCATGAGCCTCTCTCCATACTGGAATGTTGACTAGTTTTATCTTAGGCAGCTATTTGGTAGGCAAACAGTTACTGTGAGTTCATGAATGGATTGTGTGTCATGTCTTGAAGATACTACTTTGTGCCTGTCCTCTCTGGCCATTGGCTCTTACAATCTTTCTGCCTCCTGTTCCTTGATGGTCCTGTTCTCTAAGGAACAGAGGGTACAGATATCCACTTACATCTGAACACGCCATAGACACTTATCCTCTGAGCCTTGATAGGTTGTATGTCTCTGCATTAACCAATGCCCATAGCACAATGAAGCTTCTCCATTGAATTCTGAGAACAGCCCTTGTCTGTGGGTACAGAGACACAAATTCAGAGGCAGTTTGATACTGTGTTCATTTAACAAAATAATAGGAGTAGACTCATCTCTGAGGCTATAAGTTCTCCAGCCATTAGTTCTTGACCAGATTCACAGCACCAGATACAGCTTTCCTGCTGTGTAGCAACCTAAAATTCAATTAGAAAGCAGTTGGTTGCTCCCATAACATTCATGCTGCTGTTGCACCAATGGGCATCTTGCCATGTCAGTCATTATTGTGACTCATAGGGTTTTCATCTGCGTAAGACTTTTGCTCCTGGTCTGTACCAACTTGATTTCTCTATGTCCTAAGAGCAAATTATATGATGTCTTTAGGGATAAGGTCTTATTCAGCTCCTTATACTGTTCTAGGGGTCTCAGGACACCTCCAACCAATAACTTGAGGGGAGATATCTCACACCTGCACTAGTCTCTGTGTAAGGCAGCTCCAATTGTGTGTGTGTGTGTGTGTGTGTGTGTGTGTGTGTGTGTGTGTGTGTGTGTGTGTGTGTCCTATATAATACTAGGTTTCCATATAGCTTTATAAATCACCCTCAGGTTAGTTATCTTCCTCCAGCACCTTCCTCTGCCCTATCCTCCCATCCCTCTCCTCACTTAAATTTATCTCTCCATCATTATTCCGTCTTCACCCTTCATACCACTGTGTTCTGCCACCCCCAATTAAGATCTATCCCCCCTCCCCACCAATGGTCTCTTTCTAGATTCCTACCTTCTACAGGTACTCAAAATAAAAACACAAACCTAAAGATTCAACGCTAGGATCTACATACGAGTCAGAACACACGGTGCTCTTTTTTTTCTGGGTCTGGGTTACCTCTCTCAGCATAATATTTTCCAGTTGCATCCTTCAACTTTCCTAGTTTCATCTTGTTTATAGCCGAATAAAACTCCACCATGTATAGATGCTGGGGTGATGTGTATGAGAGACTTCCCCGCAGCCTCATCATTTAGACACTTGATTCCCAGTTTGTGGTGCTGTTTGGGAAGAGTGTGGAACTTTTACAAAGTGGAGCCTTGCTGGAGGAAGTGTGTCATTGGGAGATAGCTTTGAGGGTTTCTAGTCTTGCTCCTCTTCATCTTCTTTCTGACTCCTGCGTGAGAAATGTGATTGGTCAGGTATCTGCTCCTGCTGTCATGCCTTCCCAGCCTGTTGCCACACCTTCCTTGCCTTGATGAAGAATTCCCTTCTGGAATTCTTTCCTCCCTAAGTTACCCTTGTTAGAGGCCTCTATCTCAGCAGCAGACACATAGCTAATACTGGCTCTACATTAGCCATCCGTCAGGCGGTGGGCATCTAGGCTGCTTCCATAGCTTTGCTATTGTGAACAAAGCAGGATAAACATGGATGAGCACTTATCTCTGCAGTAGAAGTAGGGCCATTTGCCTTATGCCCAGGAGTGCTGTAGCTGGGTTACACATTAGATCTACATCTAGACGTTTAGAAACCACCACACTGATTTCCACAGAGGCTGTCCCTCTTGTGAATGCCACCAACAATGCAGGGGGCTCCCTTTCCTTATATTCTCAATAGCATTTGCCATCTGTGTTCTCAATTTTAGCTGGTCTGACCTGGGTGAGATGCATTCCCAACTTTGCTATTTGCTTTTTGGCTGAATTTCACTTTCCTTTCCTTACTCACAGTATCAAGTTTTTTCATCCAGGGTTCTGATTCCCATCTATGTTTCTCCTTTCTTCTCAGGGTCCTCAATTGATTTTTCTTGCTTCAATAATCTGATTGTTTGCATCCACTTTGTAGTCTCTGATATTTTCTTTTTTATAAATTCTGAAACCATTACCCAGTGTTTCATGGATTCCAGTGTCTTTGCGTTTTTTAATTATGATCTTTCAGAATAATAATTTTGCCTTGATTTTCCATGGTTTTTGTTTTTTCTGTGTTGTGATTTATGTATCTCTTTTCTGGCTTTGTAGTCTTTTTAGTGAGCAGTCTTCACTTGAGGGCCCCAAATCCAGTACCACTCAAAATGAAGGTAATAAATTGTCATGAAAACAATAACAGCAGGGAAAATCAGATAGAAATAAACTAAAAACCAACTGCTAAGCCACCAATAGAAAAGCAAACAGCATTCTGTTGAACTGGTGCTGAGCCAGGCATGGTTGAGGATCAGCTGCTTTTACCATTCCTTTGTGTACCATGAGCTGCTTCTGACCACGGGTAGCTTTGGAGCCTGTGGGCCTGGCAGATGCTCGCTGGGGATTCTCCAGCATGTAGATCTTTGGATTGCTAATATCTAAGTCTAAGGGCTATCTCCTGAGGGTATTGGGGTGTGGGAGAGTTGGTAAAGCATTGAGATCTGCTGCTAAAGAACCCAGTCTTGCTCGGCATTAAACATGCTGCAGGATAGAAGAGAATGCAGTAATATTCACAAGACCTGAGAACTGCATGGCAAAGGGGAAACTATGCAGTTGCAGAGCCTTGCTAGCTTCTGGTTTGGAGCTGTCAGTCTCCAAGAAGTTACCTATTTCTGTACAAAGAAAGTGGGGCCACCAGTCTTCACAGTCTGAGCCTCCTGCAGCTTTCTAATCTTGTCTGTATCAAGTGCTCACAGGATCCGTCATTGCTTCACGCAGTCACCTGAATGTTTTCAGGCCTCCTTAGTAGCTCAGTCTTAAGCAATATGGCCCCTATCCTGATGGTTTGGGAATACCCGGGAGTGTAGAAAGAGCCACAATGGACTTCTGACCTGTGGCACACAAGCCTGTCCTGCCAAAAAGCCAGATAGATTTATGACTGTAAACTGTTCTGTGTGTAGAGCTGACTCTCTTCATACATGTATGAAGAGATACATACATGAGTGTGTGTGTGTGTGTGTGTGTGTGTGTGTGTGTGTGTGTAGAAAACTTCTGAGAGCTGGTTCTCTCCAGTGTGGACTTGAGTATCAAACACAGGTTGTTAGGCTTGGCAGCAGCCCATGCTTGCCTGACTGACATTGTGGAAATGTCTTTGGCGCCCTTTCTTCCACGGGGGAGTCTGGTGGATTAGTTCCTCACTTTTTGCTGCTTAGCCTTTGTATTTCTCCAGGCCATTCAGCTGTCTCTGAATTCCTTTGTGCTTTCTCCTCGTGCCCTTTTATGTTTCCTCTCTTTGCATGACGCCCCTCCCCTTTTCATCTGACTTTTCTCAATCATGGCATCACACGGAAACTGCTTCTAATCCTCCATCTTGGCACACACCTCACATAGCCCCCCAAAAAGGATTCTTGAGAAATAATAATGCCATCACAGAGAAAGGCAGGTCAGTGTGGGCAATATCTTCTGACATGTATGTAACTTCTAATGAACATGGGTATAGAGAATACTTTACTGCCCCCCAAAAATATGAAGAAAACATTATTTTAAATTATGATTTTATCTCATAGGTTATCACAGTCAAATTCCTGCCTTGTGTATGTAGGAACCATTCCTTCACCATTCTGAGCAAGGGGAATGAATGTTTCTGACTCTAAATTTGGGGAGCATGTATGGAATGGCCTGTTGCACTAATAGATTTCTTTACCTTTAATCTTTACCATCTATCTCCATGGACTTGTCTACTATGCCTTCATATAATACAGATATCATGTAATACAGATATGATAGATTTAGAAGTTGACCCTTCTTTAGTTATGAAACTTAGGATAACAACAGCAACAAAACCCTTACCCAGAAACAGAAAGGCATGCAGCCAAGTTTCCCTAGCTTTTTGTTTCATCTCCTGGTGTTGCTTGGATATTAGTTTATCAACACACTGAATTTCTGCTACTTCTAAAGAAAGCTACCTTGGGTATGGATGTTAGTGTTTAAACCAGGGAACCTCAATATAAGGTAAGTTCTTTTTAAACAAATCTGTCTTTTGGTTTTCTGATTTAATTTAACTTGGAGGTTGTTTTCTCCATGCATTCACCAGGCATTTTAATCCAACTTTATCCTGTGTGGACCAGTTGAAAGGGTAAGATGGATTTCTTCAGCAATAGCCCAAGAAAAAGAATATGTGAGCTGTTGTCATAAGAAACACCATCAGTCATTTCCTTGCACTATTTGAAGACAGAAAGAATCATTCTAACTTTGAAGAATATCTATTCTTTGCTCTGCAGACCTGGAAAATGGGAGGAGGAATATTGAAATGAGAGTGCAGCAAAGAATAGAGGTTTCGATCAGAAAGAACATGCAAAGAGTATGCCTTGATTGGTACAGATCCCTGGGTGCCCACTAAAGAAAAGCAGTGTTAAATAAAATATTCATAGTTTCATTTATGAGCTTATATCATGGAAACAGAACACGAAGAGATGCTTGCTGATGTTTTTATAACAAATTTCAGCTATAGAATTATCCCCATGGCTAGATCTCATATCTCAGCCAATCAGGATTCCCACATGTATTGAGATTTTTATTGTTTTGAAACAGGGTCTTTCTCTATATATAGTCCTGGAACTCTCTGTAGACACCAGCCTGGCATGAAACTCAGAGACCTGTTTGCCTCTGGCTCCGAAGGGCTGGGATTAAAGGTGTGCACCACCACACCTGGCTATTGAAGTATTTTTGAGAATGAGTATGTGATGCACTAATGTATCAGTATGCATGAGCTTTCACCAGGGGAAGGCTGAAAGTGGCACAAACTGAGAGCTCTATGCTCTGTGAATCAAATAAAGGATGATGCAGGCATTCTGAATGTCCTCATGAAGATGACGGAAGGGAGGCTAACAAGGGAAGAAACTCGGGTTTGTTGGTTTTAAAGCTGTGTGGCCACTATTCCGAGTTCCCTTCTCTAGTTAGCCAGTGACAGAGGTATTGATAACAGTCTGCTATATCTAGAGGGTCTGTTGCTGCACTTGATTTGTTGTGTTCTTTCTTTCTGTCATCTGTAGTTTGTACTGGTAAGGGCAGAGGAGTAAGCAGAGGGGAAAATGCTCAGGGTTTCTATTTGCCTCTTGTAACCCTAACCAACACACCTTTTCTTCTGCAATTGTTAGGCTTTCCTTATTGGATGAACCTTAGATTCTAAACATCAGTGCACTGAGAAAGGAGATGTTGTCACTACATGGAAGTCCTTCGTTCTGTACTTTGTCAGGAAGCAGAGGGAAACATGATGAAGTCATAGTTTTATTTTATAACACAGTAGTATAAAACCAAAGATCTAAAAATGCAAGAAATGGATACACTTTGTATCTGCTAGCAGTTGTATTTTAGAGAACATTTGATGACCTAGGAAGGTTCATAACATATCTGTATTGTGATCCTCTTTTCCTAAAATCAAATACATTATTTATTTACTGAATAAATAAATGAATGGAAACTAATCAAATGCCAACAATATTTAAGGATGGATAATCTTATTTTCTTCTCCAATTTGAATTTCTTCCCCAAACTCCCAAAGACATAGACATTACTTTTAGAGCCAGATGAGATCACAGCACCATTTAAGATTGTAAAGAAGTAACTGCTGTAGACTGGAAGACAAGGGTTCTGGATGATTCCCTCCATAACAAAGAGCGAGGATAGGAAGTGACAGGGAACTAGTAGACTGAAGACATCTACTGGAAATAGGAGAAAAATGGTTTACTTATTTGCTTGCTGTCTTAGGTCCATCCCCAAAACTGGTTAAGCAAAATAAAAACTGATCTGTGTTTGTTATTCCTTGGAGGTACAAGACAAAGAAAAATGGGGAGAAACTTGAAAAGGCAGTACAAGCTCCAGAGTGTTCCACAAATACCTCGCATTCAAGTCCCTGCCTCTGCTGCTGACAATTCATTACTGAAGGTGACGAATCTTATTTGAGGAGGGAAGGGCTTTTCTTGTTTCTTTGGAGGGTCTAGAACTTTTTCCTACGGTCCGTGTGGGAGGTGGCTGTTGTTTGACCCACAGTAAGTGCCTGCTGAAGGAGTAGATGAAGGTGTACTAAGACAGCCTAACCCTGAACACCCACGATGGCTGGAGTCTGAGAAGTGATCTTGCATCGCTGTCCACCACGATGGGAGCTCACTTAATTGACAGCATCAACATAGCGGCTTCCTGCTTCAGCGGTTAGCTTCTTTCCCACCAAGCTAATTATAGCCATTCACATAGAAACTCTCTGTAAAAATTTCATTTTTCTTCCATGTCTTCCAAGAATATGAGAAATGTAACCTTCTACTGACTTCTCATTTAGGATGTTCAAAGTTTTACAGAGATGAGAAAGTAGGCATAGTTTTTCTTGATAAAATAAAAACTGCAACTTTCAAGATTTTTATCTAATGTAAGGGAAATTCCCATTGTACTAGGAAACTTTGCTATTGAAGTAGGCTAGCGATTGTCCTATTATCTTGCATGCAATCATGTGAAAGGCTTAATTAGTTACTCAGCAATGAAATCCCTTCTTTTCTTCAAATGTATTATCCCCAAGCATACATAATACAGGAATTCAGAGTGAAATGATGTCTTATACTGTGAAGCTCTTGGCCTTGCTATTTTTGCTCTGGGTTTACTTTTAATATCAAATTTTAGGCCCTAGACTTAAAAACAATTTGTCTCACAGGTTTCAGATTTTAGTCCCCCACAAAATGTCTAACAAATAAGTCACGTTAACCTATGTTTATATATAATAGTGTAAGGGCAATTTTCCCACATGGTTTTCAATTGGCTTTTTGTCTTTTGGGTATTTTGTATCCAGGACAAACTTATTTTAACTTGACTTCTCTAGAATGTTGGTGCCATTGTCAGAGTTTCCCCACTTATTTTTGAGACAGGGTCTCCTAAGGATGACTTTGAACTTTTGATCTTTCTGCCTCCCTCTCCCTATCTCTCTCTTTGAAACAGGATCCCTTTAAGTAGCCCTGCTGGCATGGAACTGGATGGTGGACCAGGCTGACCTTGAACTTGAAGTGCTCCTTTGACCCTTGCCTCCTAACGGCTTGCGTGTACCATCATGCCTGGTTCCTCTGTGTCCATAGCCCTCTTTCACTGCCAATGTGGATCTCTTAGCACATTGCTCACTCGATCATCTATCCTGATTCCTTACTGGGAACTTTCCACTGTACATCTCAACTATCTGGAAGCCTTCATTCATCAGGCACCGTATAGATTCCCACAGTCTATATTTCTCAATAAGGATAAAAAAATCCTCATATCCTGGAAGCTTTTACATCTCCCTCAGCATAAAATTATGAATTACAAAACCTAGAACCTTTTCCTTCCCTGTTTTCATCATCATCCAAACAAGGAGAGGATTGTGTACACAAACAGTGAAGGGAAAATTCCTGATTTTTCATGTCCCGTGTGCTTTAAGAATCTGTGTCACCATAAGAGAAGCATCTTATTCTTGTGGATACTGGATTTGAACATGTCACACTTTTAATTGCATAAGGGTTTATTTAGCAAAGTCACCTCTTTGTTCTAACAGGACCTAAATCAAGGGCAGCGGCGCTACTTCTACAGCATCATGAGGATTTATGACTCCAGGCCACAGTGGAAGGCCCTGCAGACCCGCTACATTCACAGCCTTGGGTACCAGCAGCAGCTGGGTGAGTTTAACTACCTTACCAGAACCAGGCATATCAGCATAGTACTTATTCATTATAGTCAGAAGTCACATATCCAGCTAAATAATCCAAGAAGAATGGCCTCTGCCGACCTATTTTCCAACATGGTTGGCTAGCCAAGTTTAAAAATGATTATCCCTGACAATAGACAGTGAAGTTTTATAGGTGAATTAAGAGGGTTTAAAGAAATTAGAGTATGGATTCTTATAAAATGTTAACAACTCTCTGAGATTTATATGAACTTGATCTAGCAGATCAATATACTGGTCTTGGAAAGCCAACATAAACTCAAACAATGGCTCCCCTCTTACTGTTTGTGTAAGATCAACGATAGTTTACTCCCAACAACAATAGCTACATGTTTAAGCTCTTGGCGTAGCCCATATATCCTGCCATAAACATTATGTACAATATAGTTATAGAACCAGAATCCCACATAAATTATGAATTTGATGAATACCACTCAGCCAGTCATTGTCAGTGAGGACTTCAGGCAAGAAGTGACTTCCCAAAGACCATGGCTTACATCTGCTCATACTTTGCTCTTTCTCTCTTTCTACCAAGTCCACTCAAATTTACAAATCACAGATTAAACCATGGTTTCAAAAGACATGAACACATCATGAGCATTAACCTACTGGAAGGCTTCACTTCTGCTGACTCTTTTATCTTACAGGAACATCTCTAGTTGTGCACCCCCTCTGCTACACAGTCCTCCAAACTCAGGTAGAAAACTGAAATCCAGATGACGTAAATAACTTTACCAGGGTCATAAAACCAGTAAACAAGGACCTGGGGTTTGGTGACTGCTGAAGATTATCTGCAGTGAGTAGAAGTACCATCTGGTGGCTGTGTTTTCAAAGCCAAATGACAAAGAATCCAATAAACTTAAATGCAGAGGCATTTAGTAGTATTCACAAAACCTGATAGTCATTTTACTAAAATGCAGATTCCATGCCTTGCTCTCTGGGCTTCTGTTTCAGAAGGTCTTTGCAGAGAGTAGACTTCGGAATTCTAATGGGGAACTTTTTTTGGGATTCAGAGAATCTAGTGGGTACAATGAGGATTGTACTTTGAGAAACACTGAAAGAAATAATATTTATCTTTTTAGCCACATATTATCTTTCTCTGAAGACAGTTTTGATAAAATAAATTACATGAGAAGGCTACTCATCACTCAAGTGTCTTTCCAAACGTCTTGACATGTTAGTTGATGACTATACTTACTTGTGTTGCTTAACCCTTCTCATTCATATGACAGAATATCTTACAGAAACCATGTTGGGTAAGAAGGACTTACTTTGGCTTATGGTTTCTAGAGATGTCATTCCATTGTGACAGGGAAGCAGTGATACAGGACAGCTTTTCACATCCTGGTAACCAGGAAGAATAGAACAGACAGTGTGGATACTCACCCACATTCAGATGACCCCCTCCAGTTAATCATCTCTAGAAATATCTTCACAGACATACCCACAATGTGTGCTTCAACAAGTTTTAGGTTATCCAGGTTGTTCAGGTTGACAGTGACGATTTACCTCGATGCTCATTGGAGGAATGCAAAATAAGAAAGAACATGTCCTGTCCTCAAAGAGTGTAACTAGGGCATGCTAATCACAGAAGTAGAACTCTGTTCACCTCTGTGAATACTTTTGTTCTATAAACTTGTTGAGTTGAAGAGATGACTCGGTGGTTAAAAGCACTTGCTGTTCTTGCAAAGGACCTGGGTTCAGTTCCTATCACCCAGTTGGCTCATAACCACCTGCAAGCTCAGCTCTTGGAGGTGTGTCACCCTCTTCTGGCCTCTGGGAATAGCAGGCACACATGTGGAACACATAACACACCTTCAGGCAAAACACTCATGCACAAAACACAAATCTAAATAAACCCTTTAAAGAGAAATATTGACTTTGAAATTCCTCTCTTTTCTTTCCCCAGGCTATATCACTCAGCAGGAGGCTGTGTCTTGTGCTGCTCTACTTAGACACTCAACCACTCAAGCCTCAGCCAAGATAGCGCCTCCAAGGGCCATTCCCCAAAACTCTTCAGCCACACAAAGAAAACGCCAACCAGCAAAACCAGAGTCTAGCCTTGGACCCAGGGCCCCCAGCACAGCACACTGAGCATCAAGACCCAAGAGGGCATAATCTCTAAAATATTCAGCTCATCTGTGTATTCCTGGCATCCTAGTGGGTGTTGGTATGTGTTTGTTGTATGACAATGAATAAAAGAATACTACTATAAGCTCTAGACCCCGTCTTCACATAAATGTTGCCAACAAGAAGTTGGAAGATTTGCTAGTTATAGAGCAGATAATAAGCAAGTTTTACCACGGATAATCTGTAAAATAAGGGGACTTTTCAAAGCTTTCAAAGTAAAAACTGCTTTGGATGTCCAGTGTCTCAGTGAAGTCTGCAGCAGAGTAGAAGGACTCAAGTGCCCGGATGCCTGTCACTGGGTGACAGTTGCCTACAAACTGCCCATTGCACATTTGGAAATACACACTTGCACAGTCAAAACTGATTATGGAAGTTTCTGAAGCCACAGTGTTAGTGACAAGTGCCACAGGCCTCTTCCTACCCCCATCCCCAGCAGGCATTAATATTCACTTTGGCCCTGCAGATTCTGGTTCTAGCCTGACTCAGTCACATCTGTATCATTTTGAAATTTGTGCTTATCAGTCTGCTACTGCCAAGCTGATTCTATACTGCTGTAATTGGCCTTGACATGGGTAAGATAATTCATGCACACACCTGCCCCTGGCAGTGACAAACACTCTCCCCAGAACAGAAAATAGCTCCAAAGAATCAATCTCAAGTCTTGTCTTTGAAGATCTTAAGAACTCTGTACAAGACCATGCAAATGAGCAGATAATGTGAAACAGCCAGTTGGGTTTCTCTGCAAATGACACAGAGTCATATTTGTTATGTTTAATGGTGACTAATTTTGTGTGTGCCAAAAATTAGTGATCCTATACAGTCAAATTAAAAATTCCCTCTTGTTATTTTTATTTTTTAAATGCCATTCATGTCATCCAGTGACTTTTACTACATAAAGAATTGTTGAGATAGAACATAGCATACAGGAGAGATGGAACATGAAAAGAAGACGTGACAATACTACCACACCCCCTTTCCAGCCAAAACCAAAAATAACAAAAACCAAAATCTCCTCATTGGTAATTTCTTCTCTCTGCAGCCATTAACATAAAAGGTATTAACTTAGTAGAAAGCTTCTAATGGGCCTCATTGTGGAGTCCACCATTCTACCTGACTTTTCTTTGGGTGGGGTGAGAGGCATGGTTGTCCCACCCATCTGTCAGGACGTCTTGGGAAAGCAGGAGCAACCTTTGACCAGATGAAGACTGCAGTGTTGTGGCTTGCACAGCCTATCTTCAATGAGGAGAGACTAAGGGACTGTTTGCCTAATCATGAAAACTCTTCTTGACCCCCCTGACGCTGATTCAAGAACTCTCTGTAGATTACACTGTTCAATTAGGGATTGTTAGGTTGCTTTTTAAAAAAATCCCGTTGAGATGGAGTGAACCATGAGGAAACTCTTATAAAGGTAGAGAATGGTGGCACCGCTGACAGTCGGCGTTAACCTTCCCGTTTCTACTACGAGCCTTTATCTCTGTGAACTGCTGGCATGCACTTTGTCGTGGGCTTTTGTGACTTGGTTGGTCTAGGTGCCTGCTGAGTAAGCCTTAGCTCGTGGTACAGAATAACAAGAATAGTAAGCAGGGAGGATCCTTTCGTGCGGCAACGCCGCATCAAAAAATCTCAGAAGCATTTGTTCCCGACAGGCTTTTACAATCCTATGGGCAGGCACAACCCCAAAGAAGGACAAATGGGTTTAAGAGACGAACGTTGGAATTGCAGGGGCTCTTCTTGCGGGTTCCCCCTTCTGAGAAGATAATGATCCTCTATGGCTAGAGCCCCACACTCGAAGCTTGTAGGGATGTGATAGGATAGGGAGCTTAGAAGAAAGATGTTCACCAATAAGGACCCTGAGAAAGATAATCAAGGGGGTAGAAAGGACACACAAAGTTTTAGGTAACCCTACTGCTTTGAGTGGTTGGAGACCGCGCTACAGCGGCTCCCAATGATTACCATCAGCAGGGGGAGGAAAGGAACCATTTCAACTAAAATTGCAAGCACCTGAAAGCAACCTGACTGTGGAAAGCTATCAATAATGCTTGTTGCACAATATTGAAGTTTTCAAAGTCAGCAGTCGGACTGGCCTCTGGCTTTGTGATGGGCCTCAAGGGTCCCAGGAAGCTCCACTGCTGGGGAGGCTTGACAGTGGTTGTCAGGGAGAAGCGATCAGAACAGTTCATCCAGGGTGCAGGCAATAGTGGTCAGCAAAGAATTTTTCAAACGATAATAAAGCTGGATAACGTTGGTCTCCTTTTTATAATTGCCACACGACAGTCAGGGACACAATGTGCTCCCCGCATTTCCCTTGCTATAAATCTTAACTGCTAAGGGAACGTGAGCTCTGGGTTTTAGTTGTCCTTTGTCTCCGCTGGAAATAGTTTGGAAAGCTCCTGTGTTATGGTTCAGATATCATTTGCATGTACTGAGCGGGATCTGTGTTGGGAGTTTCATCCTCAGAACCGTTGTGATGTGGAGCCTCGCAGATTTATGGGGAGTTACGGGAGGCATCACTCTCCAGGGAGTTGATGTGGATCTTATGAGACCCCAGGTAGTTCTTATGAAAAGGCTATCACAAAAAAACGGCAGTCACAATAGCAGTTCTGATACTTCCTTGTACCTCTTAGAGAGTGGCCATTTTGTAAATATTCAAGTGTTCTTAGACAAGTGTATATTCTTTAATGAATGGCTGTGGAAATAAAACTTTATGTCCAATAACCCACACTCACCAGTTGTTTTGAAATGAAAGTGTTGATCCCTGAATATGCTCAAATGCTCAATGACTTTCTGTTCAACATTCTCTTTTTCTCTCTCTGACTCTGTGTCTCTGCATCTCTGTCTATCTGTCTCTATGTCTCTCTGATGCCAGCTACTATGAGGTGTAGCTAGGGGGCCTTCTCTAGAATCAAAATGAGCACCATATTCCTATTTTTTAGAATTGCAGTCTCCAAAACTGTGAACTTTAAAAATAATATATTTTTAATGATGTTCCTGGTCTCTGATACATCATTGCAGTACATTACATCAGAGAAGAAACTAGGCTGATACAGCCTGCTACCTGGCTGGCTCACAATCTACACACTATCAACTGACGTGTCTCTAGCCACTGCATGGCATATCCTTTTTTAAAAAAATATATTTCCTTCTTTTTATTCTTGGTGCCTTTCAGATCATGTCTCCACATCATGCTTCCAGATCTCAGCCATCTCCCTCCCACTGCAAAATAAAACAAAATAAAAGTCAAGAGAAGAAAGAGGGGGGAAAAGGAAGAAAGGGAGAATCTCATCATGGAAACTGCAGTGAGTCACGCATTAAACCGCTTTATCCATACACGTTTACATGCAGGCATTCATCCCAAAGACTCATTGATCTGGTTCCGAGGCCCTGATCTCTGCTACACCATCGATGCTGAGCGCTCACTGGGACTCTTCCTGGACATCCCTTGCTGCCCTGTGTCATGGAGAGCTTGCAGCCCCAGGGCTTGCAGGACCAACTGCCAGTAACGCTCTTGTGCTCCAGAGCGTGTCACAGATGGGGTGTGTGTTGGGATGGACCAACACATAACCATGGTTATGGGCCTGGGTGATTGCATTGTCGGTCAGCCTGCCAGCTCTCCCCTGTCTTTGCCACCAGGGTAGGCTCTCCAACATTGTTCTGGCTGCTTCACCCCTTGCAGCAATGAGTAAGGGGCTGGGACAGTTCTCCAGCTTTCCTGTCCTCAGGGTCGGTTCTTCCACACCTACACCTTCAGAGCCAGCTCTACCTTGTTATCCAGGAGAGGTGTAAGGGGTGCTCTCCTAAGTGTTGCAGCTGGTAGGGGGCAGGTACAGCTCTTTCACTCCTATGACCTTGGGGATAGCTCTCCCCCAGGAATTGATGGGGGACATTTTAAAAATATGTATTTTTGTTTGATGTGTATAAGTGTTTTGCCTGCATGTATAATGTGTAATGCATGTGTGCTTGGTGCCTAAGGAGGCCAGGGCAAGTGCCCAGATCTCCTGGAACTTCAGGTACAGATGGTTGTGAACTGCCATGTGGATGCTGAGAACTGAATCCCAGTCATCTGGAAAAGCAGTATATTCTTTTAAGTGCTGATCCATCTCTCCAGTCCCAATGCTGCATGTTCTTGCATTTAAGTACCAGACTTGAAGAACAACATTAATGGCAAAAGGCATGATTTTGAATCGCTTCAATTCTTTATGTAACATATATGCTACATGTGTAATGTTACATATTACATAAGCAATGCTACATATGCATTCAGCTTAAGTCCAGTGAATCTTCACAAATGTATAACCACACATCCACCACCACAATCATGACAAAAGGCATTTACAGCTCTCTGAATTCCCCCTCATGTCATTCTGTAGTCAGTTTCCTTGCCAAACTATCACTGGTGGCCAATCATAGCTTTTACCGCTGGAGTAGGGTCTTTTCTAGAATTTTGCTTAAGTGGGAATTTTGTTTGGCTTCTCTTGGTTAGTGTAATGCTTCTGTTAGGATTCATCATGTTACATATATAGTACTTTATTCCTTTTCATTTCAGAGTAACTTTTGTTGCATAGATTTGCCACAATTCAAGCATCCCCTCACCCGTTAATGAATATTTGAGTTGTTTCTAGTTTTGAACTCTTTGATCATATGCACTGTAGATAATGAATGTAATTCTCACATAAATGTTAATTTGTCTTGGAAAGATACCTAGAAGTACAATTGGTTCATATGTTATATCTGCATTGCATTGCAATATATGCGGAACTGCCATGGTATTTTCCAAAGTGAATCCTAGAAATGTTATAGAGTTCAAGTTTTTGTATTCTAATGACTGTTGCTGCCCAGCAACTTGCATTTGTAAAAAACACTGCCACTTTCTCAGTGGCAAGTTTTAAAAAAGACAGTCATGGGAGTCATGGAGGTAGTGGTGCTGATATTCTTGGAGATTTAATGGAAGAAGCAGCAAGACTTGGCAGTTCACCCTGAAAGGCAGCCGTTCAGTGTCAGCAGAGGAATGTGACAGAAGCAGCCTATGCAGAAAGGACTGTCTGTCCTGGGATGGAACCACGGTGCAGTGTCAGCATATGCTCATTAATGCCT